GTCTTCGGGGTTGGGCTCCTGTGGCCGGTATGGGTGGGGGTCAACAGGCCCTAAGAGCAGAGAGGGCCAACCTTCCCCAGCCTCACCCACCCACCCTTACTCACCAAGAAGAGATACTGCAGGCCATAAATTATGGAGTTTATCGTAAGGACTGGCTTCCAGTCCTCTCTGTGGACAGAGAATCAGGGTCAGGGGCTGGTGAGTGGACTGCCAACCACAGAGCCTGCTGGGACTGAACTGGTCAGGCCCAGGGCACAGGATGGTGCAGATATGAGAGGCTAGGAGGAGAGCACACAGCAGGATAGGCCAGGGAGAAGGCTAAGGTCGAGACTTAAGGAAGAAAATGTGGAGATGAAAAGATAGAAAAACACAAAACACAAGAGGGAGGGAAGGGACAGAGACCCGTGCAGTCTAAAGTCAGGGCCCTCACCTGAGGATGTTGAGGCAGACATTGCCCTCGAGGTCAATGTTAGGATGATAGACCATCGTCTCACACTTCACCTTGGGGGGATCATGTGGGTAACCCTGGCCCACCTGGCTCCAAGAAGAGAGAGAAGATAGAGAGGCACCCTAGCAGTGCCTGGCTGGGGCAAGCCTCAGCTGTTGCCTCTATCCCTCTATCCCTGTGCACCCGGGACTCACCTTAAAACTGAACACAAACTTTCCACTCTTGTAGAAGCCCTGTGAGGAGAAAGAGAAAAAGTCTTAGGACACCATCCTGCAGGGCCTGACACATAAACCAGCTCTCCTAATTCCAGGTGTTCCCCCGCCCAGCCCCCTGGCCCATGCCTGGGAGTCCAGCTGAATGTGCCCTTACCTCATCAGGACAGATAACCAGCTTGAAGTTGAGGAGATCGTCTGGATCTGAGAAGCTGATGTCACACGTCTTGGGCAGGTTCAGCTCGTTTATGTCTGGGTTTGCAAAGCAGAGAAGCAGAACAAGGAGAGGGAGAGAGGAGAGCACTCAGAGTAGGTGCAGGTGCCGGCATAGCACCCAGGCCTCCTCTACCATCCTCAAGGCTCTGTCCCGGCTGTGCCCCACAGCCCCAATCCTCTCCCTGCTCTTTCTGCTTCCTAGTCTCCAGCCAGACTCTTCTAGGTCCATAGCACGCCTCAAACATGCATTTTCAACTGTGGCTATGCTGTATCTCCTGGTCCAGGGTAAGTTCCAACTCTTTTGAATCCATAGCCTCAAGTCTCAGCACCCAACATCTGGGTACCCAGCTCCAAATGCCCCCATCCCTGTGTGGCCGCCAAGAGCCTCCAACTACCCCAAACACCAGGATCCTCAGCCATACCTCCATTTTCTAGTGGATAATGCTGGTCCCCTCCTGTCCACCCAAACTCAAGGACCCTGCCCCGCCATCATCTCCTCACCAATCCTGTCCCCACTGATCCTCCTCTTCTCTGGTTGTCACCCTAAATTCAGGGATCCATCCGACCCTCAGACACATGAATTCCCATTCCTGTAACCCTCTAAGCAGCCTCTAAGATTCCCAGCACCTCCAGCATAATACTCTAAAAAATGCAATCCTACTCCCATCTCCAATCCCTGGCACACACTGTTCTTCCTTCCTCCACGTGTCACCCCAAACTCCAACTTGCCATGTGACCCCCCAGACCCACAAATCGCAGTGCCCGAAACTGATTACACTCCATCTCACTTTCAGAGTCCCCAAGACCCCAACATACTTCACTAAATCCTCTCCGATTCCTATCCCCAGTCCTCAGTCTCCCATCCAATCTCCTCTGCCTATCACCCATGTTCCTGTCTGACCCCCAGACTCTGTGGAGTCTCCAGCTTCCTGCACGCTCTCCACTGCCTAACTCTCCGATTCTCGGTCACTAATGGAAGGCGTCTGGCTTTCTGGGTATCCTAAGTGCCCCACATTCGGGCCCTATCTTTGACCCCCCCTCCCCCGTGACTGCATTACTCCTGATCTTCCATCACACCGACACCCACCCTAACCTCCGACCCCCGGTGATTGCATTAACCCACTCCTGACTCCTACATCACCTCACCCCAGGCGCTGACCTCCGACCCCCACTCCCATCCTCCGACCCCCTACCCTTCTGGATCCGCAGCTGCGCAGCCGACGCCTTCTTGCTGCTGCCCTTGGTGCCGCCCGCCGACTCCTCCTCCTTCTTCTGCTGCTTCAGCGAGAACAGCTTGATCATCCTGCCGCCGCCGCCGCTGCCGCCGCTGCGGGGCCCGGGACCCCGGCCACCCGGCCCCCTGCCGCCGCCCGCGCCGCCTCCGCCACTCGAACCCGCCTTCGCGGCCTCCTCCGCTGCTGCCGCCGCCCGCCCGGCCTGCCGCGCCGCTCCGCGCCCACCGCGCGGCCCGCGTCGGCTCCCGTAGTCCGGCTCCGGCCTGGCCCGGCGCCTCGGTCTCGCTCGGCGGCGGTCGGGCCGACTCGGCTGTTCTCGGGCCTACTCGGCCCCGCCCCCACCCGGCCGCTCCCTCCTCCCCCTCGCCCGCTTAGGTCCCCTGAGGCTCAGCTGCGGCCGCGCCGCCTGTCTGTTTACTCGCTACCACCGCGAGGGGGTGCGGCTCGAGGGGAAGGAGGAGGCGGCGGCCGCGGTGGCGGCTGCCGTGTACTGGAAGAGGCTCGGCTTCCGCGGCAGCAGCAGCTTCGGCGCGGAGGTTCGCAACGGCCTCGGGCGCCCCACCGCTTCGGATATTTCCGCCGCTTGCCCACTTCGGCTCTTCTCGCCCGGCCTGCGCTGTGCGCCTGCGCAGCCGCCGCCGCTGCCACCGCTGCCGCCACCGCCGCCCAGCGTTGCTCCGCGATAGGTCTTGATATTCGGACTTGTTCGGCTGGTCTCGGGTATTTCCGTTCGTGCAGGCCGTCCCGCGGTCATTTCCGGGGACGCTCGCAGGTCCACGCATGGGCGGTGCCGCCGCCATCTTTAAGTAGGGCAGATGCAGGTCTCTCGGCTCGCAGTCCGCTTGTGCAGACTGCGGCGTGGGTGGGTCCTACGAGGCCTTGCCCCAGGAGATCATAGTGGCAGGGTGATCACGGCGGGCTGGAGGCCGGGCGAGGCCATAGGCTTTGCCCAAAGAGGGCGGGGTCGGGCGCCCTCGGTGTCTCATCGCAAACGCCACGCACGCGCGGAGATTCTGGCTGAGGTAAACTAGCAAATAAAATGTGTATCGTGCTAGAGAGTGGTAAGCACTTCGGGGGTTGACACGCGTGGACACTGGCTAGGACGTGGGGCGGGGGCCCTCTCGGAGTCGGGCCCGAGTTCCCGCGGAGACGTCCTGCGACCTTCCGCCGCCGGTGCGGCCAGCCTCCGCTCCAATCACACCCCGCGCAGCGGGCCTCGGAGGGCGGGAGGAAGCGGAGCGGGCCGGCGCGGGGACTTCCGGCGGTCGCTGCGGAAGCCGTCGGGCGGGTGAGCTGCGCGGCCTGGGGCCGGTTGGGTGGGTGGGAGCTCCTGGCCGGAGCTGCGCCGCGTGCGGCCCGCGCTGCGCGTCCCCTTCGGTCTCGGAGGCGACCTGTCGTCATCGCCCAGAGCCCTGGGGAAGTAGTCTTGGCGGTCCTGTCAGGCAGGGGTGCTCCCGGGCTCCTCTCGGCTTCGCCTCAGGGGAGTCGCCCTGACGCCCGCTCACCCCCAGCGCCTCCTCAGACCCGACCTGGTGTCCGTCTCGGCCCCTATCATCACCTCCACCTTTTCGGGTCTTGGGCTGGCCCCAGCCTCCTTCCTTAGAGTTCCCGCCTTGTGGGTTTTCGGGTACCGTGGACGTCCCCGGGCTCCTCGGACTGCTCCCTCTTTACCACCATCCCAGACACCCCTTTTGTGCCTCTGGTTGTCCCGTTATCCTGGCCTCACATTCGCAGCATCCTTTCTTGGCTCGAGCGCCGAGTGCTGGCGAGGTGCCAGGACGAGGACCGGGACTCAGAAACAGCCAACAGCCTAAGTTTGGGGCTGACATTGCAATCATCCCAGCGTTCTTAGGCTCCAGACATGGCTGGTCATGGGACTCGGGTGGCCCCTCCAGACTCCCATCTTCCTCTTCCTCTATCCCTTCCTGTTCTTCTCAGCCACTCTGGTTTTCCTGCCCTTGTACGGGCCATCGCCAGGTGAGGGTTGATGACCATTCAGTTTGCAGCCAAAGTCTCAAGGGTGTTGCCTGTGGGTCAGCCTAAACCATGTGTCCATCCTCAGGCCCGTTTCTGAGGCCATCAGTTGAAGGCCCATCTGAGGATAGGGTATTGGTTCCTTGGAGAGGTGGTGCTTGCTGCACTAGTCAAAGCTAGACTCTTGTGGTCTCTGACCTCATGGCTTTCCCACCATCGGTGGGGGAAGACTTAGCCATGCAAGAAAATGCAGAGCCATGGGGCCTGGGCCAGGGAGGAGGGGATGGCTGAGCTGAGACAGGGTTTTGGGTTGGAAGTGGTGCACCTGTGTTTTCCTTGTTACTCTCATGGTATAGGTGTCGAGCGGTGAGAGTGCCGTACCCCTTGGGCCTGCATCCTCTTGGGACACAGCATAGGGCTCCGCATATCAAAGTTCCAGAGGGAAGCTGGGACTGGCACCTGGAGGAATTGGGCAGCATATGACAGGTGCAGAGTGAGGGTGCGAGTGCACCTGGTGCATCAGCATAGCCTCTGGGACCTGTCACTGAGAAGCAAGGGTCTGTTTTGGAAACGAGTGGCAGGAGTGGGCAGGGAAGGGAGGCTGAGTGCTGTGGGCCTCCAGGCTGGAGATGGAGGGCTGGGATCAGAGCAGTGCTGGGGGTTGGAGAGAATTGGACAGATTTGGGAAGCTCGGGGTTGGGGGTAATAACTGGATGGATGTGGCATGGGGAGGGTGTGCTTGGGAGCAAATTGTATGGGCTCAGGTACAGATGATCCAGGGACAGGCTGGTTGGGTGCTGTTGTAGCTTCCCCAGGTGACCAGTTGTCTTAGGGGTTCCTCTCCTGCCTTCCTCCCATGGTTCTGGCCGAGTGAGGCCAAGTGGTCATTCTGTCCAAGCCCTCAGCCCTGCTGATAGTATGGTAGCACTTGGGTTCACAACCCCCAGCCTGGCTTGCAGGGCTGACCCCAGCCAACTGCAGAAATGACCCTTCATGGGGGACTCTCCCATCACTTCATGTTTCTTTCTTAGAGGACTGGCTCAGCAGGCGAGTCTGTGGACTTATGACTTTGGGCACTGGGCCCTGGCCTGTTGTCGCCATGCCTTTCACGTGTGTTAATAATTTTTCCTGTGTGTAATTTCAGGTTCTTAAGTAGTCATACGTGTGCAGATTTCTCTTCATGTTCTTCAAACACCAAGATGATCAAAACACGAGAGTGAGCTTTCTTGTCCTCTTTTTTTCTGATTATAAAATTCACACAGGACTTGAAAAAAAAAATCCATGTTACAGGATTTATAAAGTTCGGCAATACTCAACCTCACAACACTAGCTACCTCAGTATTTGTGTGCCTTTCTTAATCTGACTCCTAGCCTCCACCTAGGGACCCAGTGACTGCTTTCTACCCCTCTGATTAGTATATCCCAGGTCATGGTCCTTAAGAGTTCTGTTTGTGGTTAAGAGGACAGAAGTATTGGCCTAGGGCCCAGGTGGCCTCCCCCCACCTCCCAACGGTGCCACATGGAAGTACCCCTCCATGGGGAGTTGTTGACTTTGCCAGATGTAGATGCCAGAGTGGCCCTGGTCCTGGCTGGGGGTAGGTCAGGGGGGCGGTGGAGAGGGGTGGAGTGGGGGAGGGAAAGAGGTAGGGAACACACCTTCTTTGGGATGACTACTAGAAGCTTCTGGCTGAGGCTGGCTTCTTTCCCAGATTTCAGGACCCCAGTCTTGTAGCAAAGTCCAGCTGTATCCCTGGAAGAAGCTTAGACACGTGAGCCTCAAAAGGTTGTTCTTAGAACCCCTCAGGCCAAGGGCAGGCTGACACTTGGCCAGAGTGGGGTTTATGTCCCAAGCCAGATCCCGATGCATGAAGATCTTTCCTTTGGCACTGCTTCTCATCCTGCTTTTGGCCCCCAGGGTACCCACTGGTTGGGGTTGGGGGGCACACTAGGTCAAGAGTCTGCACAATTTGGATGGAAGGGAAAGATAATTAGGGCAAGAAGCAATGGCATGTGAAAAGTCCAGAGGGTTCCAGAGATGCCAGCCCAGTGTGCAAGCCACTGAACCTGCACTGGCAGCATCCGCACTTTTATGTAAGCTGCTGACAGCTGTGCTTCCTGTGACTTGCTGCTGAACACATTCTTCATAGGGACCACCACCCAGTGTTGGGGAGCCCTTGGGGGTTGCACACCTGGCCAGGGTTGGCGGCAGCTGTGGCCCACAGAATGTGAATGATCACTAGGGGGATAGAGAAATGGCCTGGGGCCTCCAGTGGACTTTGATTTCTGGACAGGCTGGGGTATCCTAAGGGGAACCTAACCTCAGCATCTGCTGGTAGTTAACATGCATGAAAGAATCTAGATTTCCAGATAAAACCTTCTAGCTTTTATGCCTAAGAAATAGCTTCTTAAGGTTAAAGTTTTATAGACACATCCCTAGCTCTGGCCTTCTGGGCACCAGTTTGCTACTTGTACTGCCCTTGATGATCTTGGCTGGTAGGGGAAAACTGGGCCAGTTCTCACCTGGCAGTTGGCTTGGCCCATGGTTGTGCTGGTTGAAGCTGTCATGGCAAAGAGTACAGGAGCCACAGTACAAGGTGGCATCCATAGCCCTTGGGAGGGGCTGCTAGGAGTCTATGGCTCTCAGAGACTGCATGGTTGCGGAAGTGGTAGATGGTGGGGGTGGGGGGAAGAGGGACCTGTGCAGGTCGGGAGGCACTGAGTGTGTAGATTTCCAGACCCACGGTCCATCTACTGTTTATTGAGCTCCTACTGGGCGCCAGGTCCTGAGTGGGCCCGTCTGTACCCAGACTTGATCAGAGGCCTCACAGCAACCCTGTGAGGTTAGTGTTCGGAGCGAAGACCCTCCTCTGTAACCAAAGGCCAGAAGCGGAGACGCAGAGAAGAAGGGGTACAGTGAGTGCCGTTACTCCGCACTGTGGATGCGCTGGTGCTGGATGAGCTTAGTGCTCTGGTGGAAGCGGCGGCCGCAATCCTGGCAGGCAAAGGGCTTCTCCCGCCGGTGGGTGCGCAGGTGCTGTGTGAGCGTGGGCCGCTGGCGGAAGGCCTTGCCGCACTCCGGGCACGCGTAGGGCCGCTCGCCCGTGTGGATGCGCCGGTGCTGCGTGAGGTTGGCGTGCTGCCGGAAGCTCTGGCCGCAGTCAGGGCAAGCGAAGGGCCGCTCCCCGGTGTGGATCCGCTGGTGCTCGGTGAGCCGTGACACCTGCGTGAAGCCCAGGCCACACTCACTGCAGTGGTAGGGTTTCTCCCCGGTGTGCGTCCGCTGGTGGCGCGTGAGCTTCAGACGCTGGCTGAAGCGCTGGCCACACTCTGGGCAGGCGAAGGGCTTCTCGCCCGTGTGCACGCGCAGGTGCTGCGTGAGCGTGGGCCGCTGGCGGAAGGCCTTGCCGCACTCAGCGCAGGCGAAGGGACGCTCGCCCGTGTGGATGCGCCGGTGCTGCGTGAGGTTGGAGCGCTGGCGGAAGCTCTGGCCGCACTCGGCACAGGCAAAGGGCCGCTCTCCACTGTGGACTCGCCGGTGCTGCAGCAACACGGAGCGGCGGCCGAAACGCTCCCCACACTCCACGCAGCCAAAGGATTTGTCGCTCGTGTGCACCGCCTGGTGTTCCAGGAGCATGGCTCGCCGCGCGAAGCTCTCACGGCACTCGCTGCAAGGGAAGGGGCCTGGGGGCTCCGGGGCACCGGGAGGCGTGGGGGGCGCGGCGCCCGGGCCAGGGGGGTCGCCATGGATGCGCTGGTGCTGCCGCAGGTTGGAGCGCTGCCGGAAGCTCTGGCCGCACTCTGCGCAGTGGAAGGGCTGCTCGCCCGTGTGCACTCGCCGGTGCTCCTCCAGGCGCGCGCTGCGCACGAAGCCCTGACCACAGTCGCCGCACACAAACGGCCACTCCTCAGTGTGCGTGAGTTGATGACGCAGAAGGTGCGAGCTTCTGCTGAAGCTTCGGCCACACTCGCTGCACATGAATGGCCGCTCTCCTGTGTGTATCTTCTGGTGCCTCAGTAGGTTGCTGCGCTGGCTGAATACCTTCCCACACACGTCGCAGCGGCCACCCCGCCCCACCCCGGGGCCTGTGCTGGGGCGACCCCGTCCCTGGCCTTTGGTCCTGGGTGTAGGCCAGCGGCCAGTGGCCAGTATGGGGCCCAGGAGCTGGTGAGGACCCTCGTTCGTGGGGTTCTGCTCACCTCCGGGGCCACTGGGGAGCCCAAGTGCATGTGAGAAGCCACTTTCATGGGAGGGCGACCGGAGTTGGTCTGTGAGGCTGGCCATGCCGAGGTCCCACGGGATGTGGAGGTGGGGGCTCACAGTGCCTGGGCCAGCAGAGACACTGTCCATGTGGAGGGCAAACCCTGCATTGCACAACGGGATCCACTCAGTCATACCAAGAGAGCTGTGCCTGGACCCATTCCAGCCCATGGTAAATAGGGTGAACTAGAGGGACCTGAAACTAGCCAGTGAGGCAGAACCTAGTTATGAGGAAGATTTAGAAGATGGGGACAAGCTTCCCAGGCCTGACTTAAGTTTGCAAAAGTTGCCTTTCTGGAAGGGCTGCAGGACACATATGGGACAGGTGGCCTTGCAATAGTGATGATGGTTTCTACAAATACACTCAAGTGGGTGGGTCTGAGGGAGGCTGGAAGTGGAGCCAACACGAGAGAAATGGGGATCAGAGGGGACAGGCGGCAGCACTTTGGTCTGACGTGCCTTGCTTGAGAAAAAAAATCAATCTGACTCTGAAGAAGACTCGAAAAGTTTGGGATTAGAGGTACCAGGTAGCTCTGGCCATGGAGGTGAAGGGGCGAGGCCACCAAGCATGCTGGGGAGGCTGTTCAGAACTACTGCATGGACCAGCCCTGGACACTCTCAGCACAGAATTCTGAGCAGATAGCAGGCATTGAAGTAGCTCTGATTCCTGGATCTCTTCTCTCATTTTGGCAAAAGGCTGGGTTGAGGCTGTGAGATCACACTGAGGAAGCAATATAGCCAACAGCCAAGGAATACACGTTCCAGAAACAAGGGAACAAAACGGTGGAGGGAAAGGAAATCAGAGAAGTAATTCAAGCCAGTTTCCCACAATTGAGAGGGATAGATTTCAAACCGAAAGGGCTTACCAACAAAGACGACGAAAAAACTTTGAAACTGAATTAGTAAAAAGAATTCTTCATGTAGCCCCACTAGCCTAATATAGAATGTTAGGTAAGTGTTTTAAGAGATATAGCATCTCAGAACTTTTTATCTTTTTATCACGGTTTATCAAGAACTTTTTATCACGGTTCCCAGGAAGGTCGACCAGAACAAGGGAGTAAACCAAGGAAGAGGAGCAGTCCAGGAAACAAGGAAGAAGAGGCAGAGAGACTGGACGATGGCCGACTGAGAGCAGATAGCTGAGGTGGACAGCAGGGGCTTCTGGCCTCCTTTTTGTACTGCTCCATCCACACCTTGTGTCAAGGTCCCTCTGCCCACCCACTGTCTACTAACCTGCTGTCATTGGCAGATCCAGACCCTCCCTCCCCTGCTACCCAGTTAGTGGGGGCAAACCCAGACTCTGTGGGCCATCTAGGATGCCAGGGATGGGAGAGGTTGGGGGTATGGGGAATACAGGCCCTGCTCTCAGGTTTTACTGTGGTGGGAAGCAGCAGCTGGAGGGAACCTGAACTCAGCAGAGAGCTTGATGGAAACTCCAACAGCCTACTCCATGCCAGGGGAGAGCACAGGTTATATGCTGCAAGAAACAGTCCACGGAATGGAGGAACTTGAACATGTTGGACTGAGAGGGCAACCTGAGCAGGGCCAGGAGTGGGATAGGTGAAATGTGGTGCTGCCCATGCAGAGGGCCCAGCCCCACCATGCCCAGTCTCACTCACCTGGAGGGAAGATGCCTCCAGCTTCCTCCTGCCACAGGACCCCAGGATGCTCCCTCCATGAAGGCCCCTCAAGTCCAGTTTCGCTGTGAGGAGAGGCCTGGTCCAGCACTATTTCACAGCCCTGAAACCACAGTGGTCACTGCTTATCTATGCCCAGCTAGGCTAAGGAAGGGACCCACCTGATCCCCACCCACTGAGGCTCCCCAGACAGGGAGGATGTCCTTTATGGGCTCACCTGGGTCTCTTCAGGCAGGAGAGTGGAGGTGGCCTCCTGGGGATTGGCTAGAGGCCCAGAATCCAGAAGCTCTGTAGAGGAAAGTTGGGGTCAGGTGGCCCAAGGGTGTCCCCACCCCACTGCCCTCTTCTGTGGTATGCCAGATGCTGGAATCCAGACTGGGGGCTGGAGTAAGGCAGAACCCCCTGGAAGGCCAGAGGAGAAGCTGTAGCAGGATGAGACAGGCTCAGGACACAGACCCCTGCATGAGCCCTGGGCAGGATGGCCAGCAAGGGTGGATGGGAGCACTGTACTAGGGTCCACACAGGAATGAGGGAGAGTGTGGGTGGCCAGCTCTGGTACAGACCTGGAAGAAGTAATACAGAGAGGGGCTGCCTCCCAGCATTCTGGGGTCCTCCCTCAGCCACTCCCACCTATATTCAAGCCTGCCACCTGCTCCCCAGAGACCAGCTATTGTCTCCCAATGGATCTCCTTAGGAGTGCACCCCACACTCCTCCCCACCCCAGAACCCCAACAGCCTACTTCATGTCAGGGGAGAGCACAGAAACATAGCTGTGGCAGTCAGATTTGGCATGAGAGGAGCAGTGATGTTCACCGGCTAGGCAGGATGGGGGTGGGGTGGGGGACACCAGTGCATATGAATAGTTCCAGCCAGCAGGTGACCTTTAGGCTGTTGAGGCCAGGCTCCCCTGGTCTACTCCATCAGGCTTTGGGCCATGCATGCCTTGCCCACCCTCACCTGGGTCATCTGTAACCGTGGGCTCCTCTTTCACCCGAAGGCCCAATGGTAACTCCTGCGTAGCTTCAGATGGTGTCCTAGGCCCATGTTCTGGAGTCAGAGGCTTGGTTTGAAGGAGGGGCTGGAAGTTGGAGGGCTCCATCTTCTCTGATAGCACCTCCTGACCCTGCACTTGGACTGTGACCTGGGAAGGTGCCCCTCACCATTAGGGACCCATGCGGAGAGTTTAGCTGGGCACAAGCAGTGGGTTCATAGGCATCTACCTCATCAAAGGACCCCAGGTCCTGACCTACTAGGCTCTCCAAGGACCTACATTCCCCCCAGCACTGAGTCAGGGGTAAAGGAACCACCTGCAGTTGCTCTCCTGTTGCTTACACTTGCGAATGCTCAGTGGTCTCCCTCTCTCCACCCTGCATCCCCTCCCATGTCCATGACTCCAGGCGATGTAATGATGGGCCAGTGAGGCTGGCCCTGGAAGCCTGTCTACTCCCATATAAGGTCTGCTGCAAGTGACTACTTCAAACCACAAGGAACAGGTGTTTGGTTGAGCATGGCACCTGCTAGGGGGAGGCACAGCTGGATACTGTTCCAGCCTGGATCCTGGCTCAGGGCCACCGACTCACCCATCTCCGGGGGCCTCCTGGCTCCTGGCGTAGCCCCTCGACTAGGGCAGCTGCCTCCTCAGGGCTGCCTGGCCGCTGGCCCTCCACACGGGCCTGGATCTCGGGGGGCAGTGCGCACAGGAACTGCTCCAGCACCAGCAGCTCCAGCATCTGCTCCTTGGAGTGCACCTCGGGCTGCAGCCACTGGCGGCACAGCTCCCGGAGTTGGGCCAGGGCCTCTTGGGGACCCAGTGCCTCCTCATAGTGGAAGTGTCGAAAACGCTGGCGGGCAGCCTCTGGGCCGGGATCCCATTGGGCAGCCTCACCCTCCTCCTCAGAGTCCTCCAGCTTCACCATGACAGGCCCCTCATCTTCCAGGGCTGTGTGACCTGGGGAGCCTAGTGCTGTGGGCCTCATTGAAAAGACTGGGCTGGGGCTCCGAGGATAATGTCTTTCCCTAGGAGAGGAAGAGGATGAGGCTACTGCGAGGACAAACAGTGGCAGTAAATGCTTATTGAGCGACTACTGTATGCTTCGTTGTTCCATCTTCAGACCTGTACTGAGTGGAAGGCAGAGAAGAAAACTGAGGCACAGAGAGGTGGTCACATGCCAGGCACCTGTGTCTCTGGTCTCTAGCTGGGATTTACACACAGTCTCTGGCATTCCCCTGTTCCAAACACAGGGTGCTTCTTAGGGATATGAAGGCATCCCCCACCCCCCCGGACCCAAATCCTGCCCTTCTACATGCACCACGCCATCCCTGATGTGCGGATCTCCCACTGCCAAGTAAATGACATCTGCAGTATTTACCACATGGCCATAAGAAACACTCCAGCCCCCCTCCCCCTACACCACCCAGAACACCACCCCATCATTGCACCACCCACTCTCCCATCTAGTCTCTCTGACCATTCTCTTCTCAGCTTGGTTCCACAGGGCAGCCTTTCCCACTCCCACACATGGGCAAGGTCAGCTCTGTGGCCACACTTCCAGGCAGCATCCCCCTCTCCCTCCATTCGGTCCCATCCTCTGAACCGGCCCAAGTTATCACACCATGTAATGCCCCACCATCACTTCAGCTCCCTGATTTAGGCAGGGTTAGGAGGTGATGGGATCTTAACAAGGGGCCCACAAAGGCCCCAAGATAACTGGACCAGATGCCTGCAAGCAAGATCGGAGATTCTGATCTTGCCTATTTGCTACATAACCTTGGCTAGTTTCTGTGAACCTCAGTTTCCCCATCTTTACCGTCCCCCGTAAGTGGGGCTGTCCCCCCTTCCCTCGCCATTGCTGCTCCCTTTGCAGCTGGGAGTAATGTGCGGGCTTTGTGAAGAAATCTGAGTTTATTAAGTGAGTAGATTCGACTTCCAGGGCCGCCGGATCCCGTGGGTCAAAACTCCGATCCTCAAGGTTCCAGGCCAGCCTGCAACCCTGGGAGAAAGCTGGACCATTTTTAAGCCAGCCAGCTACTGCGAAGCTTCCTGAACTACATTTACCAGAAATCCTGGAGGGCAACCTCCACTTTAGAGAGCCCCCCGCCTTCCCCCTCCCCCAGCTGGTTTAGTGCCACCATGGCAACCGGGGGGCGGGGCTCCGAGATCTCGTCGCCGTGGCAGTGCACTGCGATTGAAGAGCATCGCGCGATAGCGCCCGTATTGCCGGAGGAGGAGCTCCTAGACGTCTGCTCCGCGCTCCGGGTCCCGCCGGGCAGCCGGAATCCGAGAGTCGGCGGCCTCCGCCCGGGTCCCCGCCCCAGCCTCCCTCGGTGAGAGGTCCCCGCCCTCACCTCCACGCTCAGCGGGCCGCTCCGCGCTCGCAAGCATGCGCACTCGCCGACTTCCCCCTCCCCGGCCGGACTCTGTCTCCCAGAATGCTCCACGCATCAGCCCGAGCGCCACCTTGCCCTTCCCCCACGCTCGCCTCCTTTCCCACCCTCCTCCCGTTCCCCGGGGTAGCGTTGTTCGCAACGACCAGATCACACGCCCGGCCGCCTCTTCCCTCGCTCGCCCCCTCAGATCCAGGCGTCCATGCCCCGTCTACTTGCGCGAGCTTCCCAGGCGGCTACGGACAGCAGCGCCGTCTTCCCAACCGCGCATGCCCCCCATCACGTTTTCCTCAGTTCTTTACGGGCCTTCCGGGGATTAGCAGGGGTCTGCACCAATCACCGCTCTCACTAGGACGCCGTCAGCCCACGTCTCCATGGCAACCGTTCGCAGATAAAGGGGGCGCCTCCTGCAGCGCCCAGCCGGACTGTAAATGGCGAAGAGGCTCCGCCCGGTGCTTTCTGGGAAGTGTAGTCGGCTGGGCCTTTGTGCCCGGGAGCGGGGGCGGGGCTAGGTCGCGCCACGGTAACCGGGTGGGGACCCGGAGGGCATCTGAGAGGCGCAGGGGGGAGGTGAGGTGGGGTGGGGTGGGGCTGGGGGGTGCCGCCTGGGGTACAAAAGCCCCGCTAGAGGATGAGGAGAGGTGAGAAGAGGCGGACACAAAGACTTAGGGGCGGAAGAGGCCCAGATCCTGCAGGGCTCAGGAGCAGAGAGAGCTGGGAGGAGAGACAGAGAAAGGAACTGAACAGATCCAGGGAACAAGACCCTGAGAGGAAAGAAAGTCAACATAGAGGGGTTTCTACTCTCAGGGACCTAGAGAATGAGATAAGAAGCCAGAGGATCTGAGAGTCAGGCCGGGTGGACAGGATGTCCGAGAAGTTAGCAAGGCGGAGGGTCAGGAAGGGATCCATCTGGAAGGAGATGCACAAAGACAAGACATGCAGCTATCGAGATTCAAGGGACGGGTGTACACAGGCAAGGGGAGAGAAAGGACAGGCATTTGAGAGACAGCAAAGATGGGTGGAGAGTTTTCGAAGACCTAGAGAAGGGGGACAGCAAGGAGGGAGCTGGAGGTAGACTTTTAGGAAAACTCACTCGAACTGAACAGTAGTGTAAGGGCCTACTTAGCCAGAGCGATTCCATCTTGGATTAAATAGTCATTTTTTTGTTTATGCAGTAACATATGGTCGACCAGTCCCTGATAACAGAGCCCAAATACAAGCGCAGATCAGGTCAGGTGGAGATAACAGAGCCCGAATGCAAGGATGAGTCGGGCCAGGTGGAGACATCCAATCACTATCTCCCTAAAGAATGTGGGCCCTGCCTTTTGGGTGCCAATTCTGACCAAGGTGATAGGCTAGTTCAAATAGCTACTATAGGGTGAATTGTAATTCAATTGGCCACCCGTGTGTGACCTAGCATGACTATGCAACTTTCTCTGTGTGTTGCAATCTCATGGGCCACCTGTGTGTGGCCAGGCTCAACCATATGGCCTTTGCTCTATAAAGGTTAGTCTATGAGGCTCTGTAAGAGGCGGCCCCAACCAGCCGGTTTGATTCTGTGTGCTTGGCGTGAAATAAAGCTTTGCTTGACCTTCGCTTTGTATCAGTCTTGCTCCTTTGATCACATACCCTATCAGTAGAACAAAAAAAAGGTGATTGGGAGCCCTCTCTGTGTTTCCCAGCATTGTCTACCAAGCCAGCTTGGGCTCATCTCCCTAAATGAAGGAATTCTTTCCCTCTGAAGTACCTTTTGATCGGAATCCAGGCCGCACATGCTTGGGGTTAGAGTTGTATCACCCCCAGAGCACTGAGCGGGAACTGAGACACCCGGGCCCGCGACCCCAAGTGCTCCTTATTTCTTTCACCCTTCTTGTTCTTTCTTATCTTCCTGGAACCGCCTATGCTATCCTTCGAGTTCCCTCCTCCAGGTAAATAACTCTTCAATGCGCACTCACTGAGTTTATTTTTAAGTTGACAGTCTGAGCGGAATTAATTCTCCAGGATGGGGGACAAACCGAGAAAAGAGAAAGAGAAAAGAGAAAACAGAGCCGGAAATGGAAGTAGGGAGGATGTTGGAAAGACACAGAAAGTCGGGGGAGGGAAAAATTAGAGAGAAATGAGGCAGAAAGCCAGCTTCTGGCAGAGGCAGTTTCTGCCGCCCCTGCTGGCCTCTAGGCGCAGCACCCTCGTCGCTGAACTACATTTCCCGGGGGGCCTGGGAGCGTCTGGCGCAGGGTTCCGCACGCCGTCAGGGGCGGGCCTCACGCGGACTCCTCCAATCCCGGCAGTCCCAGGCAATCTTCCGCCTCCGCCGAGAACATGGAGGTTGAGCTCTGCTGCCTCAGGAAAGGGGCCCTGTAAGGCAGGACACAGGGAAGAGTCGCATCCCCAGCGGACCAGCTGAAGCAGCTGGCCCACGTCGCGGTCCGGAGGTGAGGGCGGTCAGCTGCGCGGGGGCCCGGGTTTCGGTGGCGGTGGCTGGGGCGTCGTTTCTCTTGGTCCTGAGCAGCGGGAAGAGAACGGAGAGAGGCCTTGGCACTTTCAGTCCGGGAAGAGCGCGGGGTGGGGGCCTATCGGCGCTTCCAGCAGCCCCGCGGCTCTATGGGAATTGTAGTCTCACGGGGAAAAACCTTGTCTCCCACCCAGACGTTGGGCCACGAGCCTCCCCGGGCGGCCCGCTTGGAGACTTCCTCTCGAGCGTGGGAGGGAGGGAACGGATGAATGAACATACGGGTGAATTAATTTATTGTATTTTATTTTTTTTAAGATTTTATTTATTTATTTGACAGAGAGAGAGAGAGAGATCACAAGGAGGTAGAGAGGCAGGCAGAGAGAGAGAGAGGAGGAAGCAGGCTCCCTGCTGAGCAGAGATCCCGATGCGGGGCTCGATCCTAGGACCCTGAGATCATGACCTGAGCCGAAGGCAGAGGCTTTAAACCACTGAGCCACCCAGGCGCCCCTGGGTGAATTAATTTAAAATCGTGGGTGAGCAGAGGAAGGCGTGGATTTTGGAGGAAGAACAGAGGCTCGTGAGGGGTTCAGAATTCGGGGACGGCTTCCAGACAAGAGGAGCCTTTCCCATGCCCACCCACCTTTCCCTGCCTCCCAGGCTCGAGGGTCCTGGGCCTGTGCCACCTTGTTTCAAGCATGCGCCGCCCACGAGTCCCTGAAAGAATTGATGTGATACCACAGGTGCCGTAGGCGCTGTGAAAACAAACCTTCACTCATTTGTTCATGCTTTCACAGGGCGCGCCTTCAAAAAAATTTTTTTTTCTTTAACTGATCAGTTTCTACTTTCACATGGCTCATAATGCAGTAGGGACAAGATGAAAACTGTCTCCCACCGCTGTACTTTAAAATTAATAATAACGTACTTGAAGTTTAATAATTTCATCATCAAGCGCCTACTGGATGCACTATTCCTGGGCCTGGGGACACAAGAGAGCTCAACCGACACAGTTCCTGCCCTCAGGCAGTATGTGACAGATGTATAATAAAATGTATGTAGGGAGGGCCTTTTTGATTAGGTTACCTTTGAGCAGAGATTTGTAGGAGAGGGAACAAGCCATGCAGATAACAGGGAAGAGCCTGAGCCCTGGGCTGAAGGAAACAGGAGCACCCTTAGTGTGCCCCAAGGATGTGGGTAGGAGCAAGCCACGTAAAGGAGGAGACTTTGAAGTGCTTGAGGAATCTGGTGAGGATTGTGGCTTTTACTCAGAACTGGGAGAGCTCTGAGCAGAGCGGGAACAGGATCTTAGTGCTTACTGAATCTTTGTGGCTGCTGTATGGAGAACCACCTTCCTCCTCTATTGCCAGATGTTCTCTGGGGTGGCACGAATTATATTGGTTTCCTCCTGCATTAGTTTTCTATGACTGCTGTAACCTATTACTGAAAAAGGAGTGGTTTAAAATAACACAAATGTGGGGCGCCTAGGTGGCTCAGTGGGTTAAAGCCTCTGCCTTCGGCTCCGGTCATGATCCCGGGGTCCTGGGATCAAGCCCTGCATCAGGCTCTCTGCTCAGCAGGGAACCTGCTACCCCCCCACCCCCCGTCTGCCTCTCTGCCTACTTGTGATCTCTGTCTGTCAAACAAATAAATAAAATAATAATAATAATAATAATAATTAATAATAAAATAACACAAATGTATTATCTTGGAGTCTTGGAGGTCAGAAATCTGAGTTGGGTCTCAGTGGGCTAAAATCAAGTTATCAGCAGGGCTGTTTCCTTCTGGAGGCTCTAGGCTTTAGTGGTCACATTGCTGCTTTCGGAGTGAAATCTTTTGCCTCCTCTTGCAAGGAGCCCTCTGATTACATTTAGGGTCCATTTGAATAAGCCAGGATAATCACCTGATCTCAAGATTATTGACTTAATCACACTCACAGTGTCCCTTTTGCCATATTAGGTAATTTTTAAATAAGATTTTATTTATTTATTTGGCAGAGTTCACGGGGGTGGGGAGCAGGCGCCCTGCTGAGCAGAGAGCCTGATGTGGGGCTCGATCCCATAAGAGATCGTGACCTGAGCTGAAGGCAGAGGCTTAACCCACTGTGCCACCCAGGTGCCCCACCATATTAGGTAATTTATTCATAGGGATTAGTACTTGGACATCTTAAGGAGCCATTACTCAGCCCCACACTGATGTTTGATGTCTTTGGGTGGGAAGCATGGAAATGGGTAGCTTGTTTGCTCATTGGTGTGTGGGAAGTGGGTTTCTAGACTGTCTTGGGGTTGCAGGAGGTTTGCTGGGGGAAGAGAGCGAAGTCTCCTAGCAGACTTTTCTTGATCTCATAAGCTAAAACTAAGTGACAGGCTCCTCTAGATGCAAAGAATGGTTGGAATTGAGTGTGCAGTGTTTTCAGCAGTAGGAAAAGAAGGGATTGGGCACGCCTCTGAGGCAGTGGTCAGCAGGGCTGGGTGCTCTTTATCAGAACATGGGAGGGCCAGCTGGTGGTTGGCACTTCCATGTACTTACACATTAATGCCCATGTGTCCTTGTCTTACAGGCAGAGGGAGGTATGGCAGGAGAGGCCAAGGGGCTGCCATCGTGGGCACACTGGTAGCTACTGTGGATAGGCACTGGGGAGAGACCTCATCAAGGTGCATGGCCCAGGGAGGCAGAATGAAGACAACTCCCCAGCTGCAAGTGTCGGGGAAGGCATCCCTCAGTGGGATTGGCCTCCGCCACACTGCCAAGCGGGACCGAAAGTCCATCACCTTGCATGTGAAATTAGAGGTGCTTCGGAGGTTTGAGGAAGGCGAGAAGCTGACTCAGATTGCCCGGGCCCTAGGGCTGGCCACTTCTACTGTTGCTTCCATCCGTGTCAACAAGGACAAGATCCGGGCCAATTC